AGGAGAAGTAGTCATTCAGGTTCCCTGCCATTGTCGTAATGGTTGTAACTGTTGTTTTGCTGAGTTATGGAACAAGTTCTCCTTTTTGTATGTCTTCTTTTATCTCATAACACAGAATTAGCAGCATTGGCTTCAGCCGATTTTCATATGAGTATTTCATGCCCCCTTCACTGTTAACTGCCCGGCTGCCCCTGTGATGATACAGAGTCACATTCAGGACCCTTGCTGATTTACTGATGTTATCAGGGACTAACTGTTGGCAGTGAGCTTGCCCAGCTGACTTGGTTCATCCATATCAGCAGCCTTCTTCATTAACATGTCGTAATGGGAATTTACCCATATCCTCAAGTGGTTGAGAACATCAGACGCAAAGTAAAGAAGGGGCTAACTTTTGCAACAATTATATAAACAGAGCCATTCGCCCCAATCATAAATTTTCTCTCATGAGCCCTGGGTTTCCTGGGTTCAAAACAGCTTCTTAAGACACAATATCACAGTCTAAAAAAGAGCATTCAGTAAAGAACCTGGGAAGCCTTGCTGTCATATAAACCCGCACAAAAATGTTGATGATGATCCCACCTGGATTGTTGACCGTGCCACCATCTGAGACTCAGTCAGAGGGAACAAACAACATAGCTGGAAATGTGGTAGAGAAGTGAGTGTGAATGCAACAAGTAAATGCAGTGACCAGAATGAGTAGCAAGTCTCCCAAAAGCAGTGTTCTGCAGAAACCGCAGAGGGAAGGTGCTCAAACACTGTGCTGCTGGAAGTGTAGTAAAGCTTCACAGGAGAAACAGAGAGGAGCAGCTATCTACTGCAAGTGTTAAAATAAATAGGAAAGGAAAAAAAGAACAGTACAAAAAGACTCAAGCAAGTTCTTCATTCATATCTCTGTATATACAGGATATTTCTGTCTGGAGAGTAAAACGAAGAAGAAAAAGTTCTGGACTTACTAAGGTCATTCCCATGTGAGAGCATTCAGAGATGAGAATGGAAAGAGTCCTCTCCTTCCAGATACATCCATGGTCTGTTCAGATTTCCCTGAAGCTGTTGAAGGACTTCCTTGAAGAGGCTGAAGGTTACCTTCTCCAACCATTTGCCTTGGGTAAGGAGGGGGAGCAAATAGTGACTCCGACCATGACTCCCTCAAGAAGTGTGCAGTTCTCCCACTGCTCCGGACACGTCTGAGGCATGCCAAGCAAAGGGCCCCAGGCTTATCATCTGCGGCTGTGCTTCAAATGGCATCACTCAGTAACTGGCAAGTCATCTAGCTGAAAGCCTGGGAGTTAACTCTTGTGGGAACTGAATGGCAGTGTATGGAAAGTTGCCCTGAGCTGCTACAATACCAAGGGACAGAGTTTAAATAAACAATCATGAAGAGAGTAGGAAGTCTATTCAGGGATGATAAGATCTGAAGGAGGAAAAATCTCAAATTTAGAACTGTGCTACCACCAAATGCCATCTTAAATAATACAAGTTGATTCATAATTTTGTCAAGAAAGACAGAAAGGGAGAGTGAAAGAGAAAAGAGAAAGAAAGCAGGAGAGAAAGAGAGAAAGCAGGAGAGAAAGCACAAAAGAGAAAGAAAGAGGAAGGGGAAAAAGAGAGAAAGGAATGAAAGAGAGTGAAGGAGGAAAAATCTCAAATTTAGAACTGTGCTACCACCAAATGCCATCTTAAATAATACAAGTTGATTCATAATTTTGTCAAGAAAGACAGAAAGGGAGAGTGAAAGAGAAAAGAGAAAGAAAGCAGGAGAGAAAGAGAGAAAGCAGGAGAGAAAGCACAAAAGAGAAAGAAAGAGGAAGGGGAAAAAGAGAGAAAGGAATGAAAGAGAGAAAGGAAGGAAAGAAAGAGAGAAAGGAAGGAAAGAAAGAGAGAAAGGAGAGAAAGAAAGAAAGGAAAGAAAAAGAAAGAAAGAGAAAGAAAAGAGAGAAAGGAAAAAGAGAGAGAAAAAAGAGAAGGAAAGAGAGAAAGAAAAGAAAGAAAGAAAGAAGGGAGGAAGGAAAACTAATTCACAGAATGAAGAAAATAGAAGGAAACCACAGAGCAAAGAAAAAGCTACATCATTGTGTTGGTCTCATACATCCATTCCTCTTGGTAAAAACTGTATCTTGAGATTATTCTACCAAAAAAACCCCAGCCATGTGAAGTGAAAATCTGTTCTTGAGCTTTAAACAGTCTCCCCTGAAAAGTTCAAACAGGCCTAGGAGCAGATAAACTCTTTGAAAAGTCCCCTGAGGATGTCCCCTGCTTTTGCCCCAAGTATTAGGTTGTTTTTATATTCAGATATTAGCAGAACAAACATTCTTAGCCAAAAAAGGAGAGAGTTTGCTTGGTCTTCTCCTTTAGCTGTTTCACTAAAACTATCAAATCCCCAAATGGGAGAAACTACTAACTAATGTGAGAAATAAATGACCCCAAAGGGAGGGTCAGAATAAAGTTAGGAAAGAAACAGAGTGAAGTAAAACCAACTTCTAATTGCTTTTGTTGGCTTAAGCTGTAAACCACCTTACAGTCAACAGCTATGGGACCAAACATTTCAAGCTACCTCTGAAAAAGAAAAAAAACCGTTCCTTTCCCATAAAATGAGCTATGCATATGATTAATGAGAAGGGTCATTGTAGAAACACGTTAACATGTCAAGACTGACCAGGTACCGGGGTTCATAGCCCACTCAGTCTGCTGCACACACACAACCCAAAATCAGGGATGCTGTGGCCCCCGTGTCTTCACGGGGCAAGTGGTTTGTGACATCTCTCTCAGACACACAGAGCGCCTCCGTCACGACTGGTCCCTGGGGCACCATCAGTCATCACCTATGTGGCCAGGGCAGCAGAGTGAAACCTGGCCTTGAGGGGAATAGATCACGAACACAGCTTATCCTTGGTGTCTTCAGAAGCAACAGGAAGGTCGAGCAGCACAAGGGGACCTCGGGCCTGCTGACCACTGGAGTGTTTGCATCAGATGCTGCCAAGAGATGGAGTGGCTATTTCTGAATCGGTTTAACTATTCAGATATTGAACAAGGGGACTACAATAACAAAGCATGGAACCCCAACAGATCTCAAGACTAGAAATTAGTATTGACAATAAAGACATGGTGGACTCTGTTAATTTCAAACTAAACTGAATATACAGCAAGGTGTGACATGGATGATAATTTATCCTGAAAATTTTCTCTCATACAGTAACCTGGTGGGACAGAGCAGCCTTGCAGTGGATGTAAATTGAATGTACTAAATCTTTCGAGCATCCTGGATGTACGAAGCTAACAGTGTTACCTTTTTATCATTTTGCTTTGAGCCTTTGAATAATTTCACATTCTCAAATCTCCAATTCCTGGGAGCAGAAGACAACCTACAAAGAACTCACAATTCATTATTAAACAAAATTCAACAACCTAGGATTTATAAACCAAATTAGAGGGGTTTATGTGGTTGATACAGGTGCCAGAATATAAAAAAGCCTCTGTGTACCTGGGAGTCAGATCTCCTAATTATACACTTACACAAGCCATGACAAAATACCCTAAGGCATGAGCTTTGGCAGCACTTTCAGGTAGTGCAATTTTTCCTGATAGTCATTCAGTCAAAACCACTTCCCAGCTGAAATTCATTCCATAATTATTCAGCTCAAACAAAGGTTAGGAGTTGAGCATAGGTTTCAGAGCTGAGTGTGGACTGAGGAGCTGGGCTCAAACAATTAACAGAGGGCTAAGGGGCATGCTGGAGAACTGGGGGGCTGTAAGATGACCAAAGCCCAAACAGAGGACTCTAGGGTGCCATGGAGAGCAAACAGAGGGCTCTGGGGCACACTGAGACAAAGCATGGGTCCTAAGTGCCTTAAGACCCATTACAGCTTACGGATACTAGAAGAGCCAGAATGACTTACGGTTACTCCTCAATAGGTGATATGAGAATGTCATTAAAGTAGGAGTTAGGCTTAGGGTTAAGGTTACCCTAACCCAAAACCCACCATAGAACTTTCTAGACATCTTTTATCCTACTTGTGTCAGCCATCATCCTTGTGTATGCCCAGTTCCCTAAAGGCGGGTAATTGGCAGATTCTGTTTTATAGGTAACTGGCGTGAGAGCTGGATTTATTGTTGGCTTGTGCAAAGTGAGGTGTAAGTAAGTATGTGTCACCAGCTAGTTTTGAGGCCAGCAGGGATCATCATAGTTAAAAGGAAGGTTATAGTAGAAGTTAAAATTCAAGAAAACAGAAGACAAAGACTAAGAAGACTAAGTCCAGAATCAGGGTTAGGATGAAGCCTCCCTGGTGGCCGCTCAGTGGTTATAAGGCCAGTTGTAAAATCCTGTTAATGGCAATCACGGGGTTGTGTTTTTATGAGAACAGTGTGGAATAGCAGGCTCCAAAAGCAAGGATTACTGCTTAATCCTGAAATCCTACTGAGAGATTTTGACAACTAAAGTTGGTAGGGGTGAATTAGTCATATTCTTTTCTGGGTGAAGACCTGCTGCGTATTGCTTATGAAAGTGGATTTAGGGCCAGTGGCAGAGGGCCTGAAAACTAGGTGTACTCTGAGAGCCTGTGAAGACCCTTATCTGAGGTAAGAATGAGGCGATTAGTGAGAGATGGGCAATTTATGGTTACTGTTGGGACCATGCAGGCTCCTGAGATAGTTTGGTAAAGCTATTTTCAGATTGCTTTTCTGTTCTTTGTCAGAGATGGATTCGGACAATTCATGCATTTTAGGTTCTGCTCTGAAATGGCTGATGAGCAAAGGGTAGTTAATAGCGGATAGAAAGCTAGGGGCAGATGGGCCCAAAAATGGTGTGCGGGGTTCTGGAAATCTCTGGAAGCAAAGTGATGCGTCTGGCCCCTTACCGGGCTGCCCAGCCATG